ATCTTTATGAAATGGATTGGCTGAATATAATTATTCTAAGTGAAAAATAAGTAAGATTGTCAAATAACTTATTTTCCTTTCATAGTTTTTTTTCTTATCTTTAGTAATAAATACCATTTTTAAAATTATACTTTATGTTCTAGGGTACATGTGTACAACGTGCAGGTTTGTTACATATGTATACATGTGCCATGTTGGTGTGCTGCGCCCATTAACTCATCTTTTATATTAGGTATATCTCCTAATGCTATCCCTTCTCCCTCCCCCCTCCCCATGATAGGCCCTGGTGTGTGATGTTCCCCTTCCTGTGTCCAAGTGTTCTCATTGTTCAGTTCCCACCTATGAGTGAGAACATGCGGTGTTTGGTTTTCTGTTCTTGCCATAGTTTGCTGAGAATGATGGTTTCCAGCTGCATCCATGTCCCTACAAAAGACATGAACTCATCCTTTTTTATGGCTGCATAGTATTCCATAGTGTATGTGTGCCACATTTTCTTAATCCAGTCTGTCACTGATGGACATTTGGGTTGGTTCCCAGTCTTTGCTATTGTGAATAGTGCTGCAATAAACATACATGTACATGTGTCTTTATAGCAGCATGATTTATAATCCTTTGGGTATATACCCACTAATGGGATGGCTGGGTCAAATGATATTTCTAGTTCTAGATCCTTGAGGAATCGCCACACTGTCTTCCACAATGGTCGAATTAGTTTACAGTCCACCAACAGTGTAAAAGTGTTCCTATTTCTCCACATCCTCTCCAGCACCTGTTGTTTCCTGACTTTTTAATGATCGCCATTCTGACTGGTGTGAGATGGTATCTCATTGTGGTTTTGATATTCATTTCTCTGATGGCAAGTGATGATGAGCATTTTTTCATGTTTCTGTTGACTGCATAAATGTCTTTTGAGAAATGTCTGTTCATATCCTTTGCCCACTTTTTGATGGGGTTGTTTGGTTTTTTTTTCTTGTAAATTTGTTTGAGTTCTTTGTAGATTCTGGATATTAACCCTTTGTCAGATGGGTAGATTGCAAAAATGTTCTCCCATTCTGTAGGTTGCCTGTTCACTCTGATGGTAGTTTCTTTTGCTGTGCAGAAGCTCTTTAGTTTAATTAGATCCCATTTATCAATTTTGGCTTTTGTTGCCGTTGCTTTTGGTGTTTTAGTCATGAAGTCCTTGCTCGTGCCTATGTTCTGAATGGTATTGCCTAGGTTTTCTTTTAGGGTTTTTACAGTTTTAGGTCTAACATTTAAGTCTCTAATCCATCTTGAATTAATTTTTGTATAAGGTGTAAGGAAGGCATCCAGTTTCAGCTTTCTACTTATGGCTAGCCAGTTTTCCCAGCACCATTTATTAAATAGGGAATCCTTTCCCCATTTCTTGTTTTTGCCAGGTTTGTCAAAGATCAGGTGGTTATAGATGTGTGGTGTTATTTCTGAGGGCTCTGTTCTGTTCCGTTGGTCTGTATCTCTATTTTGGTACCAGTACCATGCTGTAAATACCATTCTCAAGTAAAGCTTTCTTGACTCTTCTTCTTCCTAGTGACTATCTGCCAGATATTTGGGGGATTTATTTCCTTGTAGGGAAGTAAAAAATTACAAGCATACAGTATAACCAAGCTCATGTCATGACTATCACAGTTATGCACTGAACAACTGAACTGTAACTTAACATAATAAAGTTAATGATTATTTTAAATCAAATAGAAAATTTCACTTAATTTTCCTATCATTTATAAAAGTCTGAGTCTTCAGATGGGTAATGAGTACCTTTTAATTTGCTATTTAGCGTTTCATACGAGTGTTTTCAGATTTTTCTATGAGATAAAAGTAATCTAGAAAGTAATATTTCCATCTTTTATTCAAATAGTTAAAATATGCTATACTAAAAATGTAATTATAAAATATGATTATAGAAATTCTATTTTTTGTGTACACACACACACACACAAATCACAATTCAACCTAGAAAAGGCTATTTGTTCTTGAGAGATTTATTTCTTTTTAATATCTACATTTGTACTGAGAAGCCTTCTAACTGTTTCCTTAATTACTCCTGCGTATCTACCTTAACATCTTGTCTGATGCCCTTATCTACACAACTGTTATTCCTTGGTTGAAAAGTGATTTAGTGATGGCTAATCTTCTTTTCTGTTTCAATTTACACTTTCCCATTGTCTATTCAGAACTGGAAATGGCACTTGAAGTGACTCAAACTGTACCACATTTCCCCTTTGTTTTAATTAAATCATGTATTGGCATTTGATGTAATTTATGGTTGAGAACTTTAGATTTGTACTATGCCAGACCATGTATTGTTCCATCTATTCCTTCTCAGTTTAGCATTCCTTCCAGAAAGTTCCATTAAGGGACCATTAATTAAAACATTGTAAAAATGTAAAACACTGCCTTACACTGGCTTAACATTGGTATTGTTCTTTTCTGTGCAGTTTCCTATGGTAAGATGACTTTTACATCAAAGTGTCCATAATTCTGTATCATTGCATTTACAGACACAAAAATACAATCAAATACATTCAGATATATATCCATTAAGCCATTTGTCATATAACCAATTTACATTGACTTAAGAATTTTAGTTATTTTGCTTAATAATATAGTTATTGCTTCTCTAATCATTTGGCTTTTCAAGCTTACATTACATAGTTGGTTATAATATGTGGAACAGCTGCAAACTTTCACGGTAATAGGTACAATCAAACCTGATGTGTCTAATTAGTTTTTAGTCCAACAAATTAGTTTTGTTCTTCATTACTCTCCAATGGGAGGAAGACATTATATTTCATTATATTTTTTGTCTGCAAGAACAATGGAGCGTTACAGGTCACACACATCCCTTGTCTATGCTCTAATTAGTCCAACTGACAACATTGTTTCAAAAATACCAGCAGCATAAAAAATAGCAATACACCTTGCGAAACATAAATATTGCAGCTTACTAAATATGATATATTGTGGACCGTTTACAAAAATGAAGGCCAAATTTTCTTTTCTCTGTTCAATAAGGTATATGTTTTCTTGCTGATAATTGCTAATAGTTAAGGAAATCACCAGATAGGTGTATGTCTCATATGGAAAATATGAGCTCATTTTAAATACAGTTTTGACTATGTTTACATGTATAATAATTAAAGGCAGACATAGTGGGAAAATGAGCCAGATTTACTACATAAGTGACGTTGGTATTTAAATCTGAAATTTAATCAAAAGACCTTTCAGGAATGGATTATGTGTAAGGAAATGCTAACAGCTATGATAAAAAAGCCTGTATTTTGAAAAGATTAACAAAATAAAATTTTATTTCTAATTCACAGCTCAGACCAATATGGATCAGCAGAATGGGAAATGGAGTTTCTACTCAATGTCATTATTCAGGGGTTTTGGATCTTTCAAACCATAGCTCTCCCATGTCTTAGAAGCTTAACATCCTCCAACAGATCCCCTGTTTCTGTCCAACCAATGAGGAAATAGAGTTTCAAGTCAAGGCAGTGTTAGGGATCAGGCCTGGAAGGTCATGTGCACATTTTGTTCCTAGTTACCACTGGCTAATGCTCAGTTGCTTTTTTGAACTCTACTGCAAAAGATGCTAGGAAATGTAGGCTAATTTTCTGCCTTGGAAGAAAGGAGGAGCAGTGAGGTAAACAAGGGAATTGAGATCTGCAGGATTCTCAAATCTAGAAAATTTATCACTCATGTCACTGAGGTTGACTGAGAAGTCCTTAAAGCAGCCCTTAAACTTACATGGGTCATAATTTTGAGTCAAAAACTACTGTCTTCGTATTAGCCTCCACTTCAATCCTCCCAAAAGACATGAAGTAGACAATACTGGTGCCAACCAACTGACACGGGCTCTGGAAGATTAAGCTTACTGCTTACTTGGCTAGTAAGTGGCAGAGTTGTTTCATCAAAATCATGACTTCAAAGACCATGATCTTTTTAATATATTACAGTGCTATAAGTAAAACAGGGAAAATCCCACACATTCCTTTGATGTCGTATGCTGAAATGTGCCATTTATATTTTGCTTACCACTTACCTTTTAAAAGTCTATGATTAGTCACTAATTAGGCATCACATTGACATTAGAAATCACTTAATTCCCAGTGTCTACATTTCTTAATCTGCTAAATAAGCCCATAAATCTTATGATTCCACAAGTTTAAGACCGATTTAAAATGCAGACTGAAATTTTCTTAATTATCTGAGGGGTCTAAATTTTCCAAACACAACTAGTTCTAGAATAATCTGAGTCCAGATTTAAATGTATTTCTCAGTGATGAAGACCTCAAAGTTAATTTTTAAGTTGTTCTTTAAATTTGCCTTTCAAATGGATTTTCAAATTAGTTTCAGATACTTTAAGGGAATATATGAGTTTCATCTTTTCATATTTTAATTATGCATGCTGATCTCTGTGAAAGCTGTTTACATAATTGTCATTGTTTTGTATAGTAGTTTTAATACTCTCCAGAAAATGAAAGGATATTTGCTCAAAATAAGCTCTTTGGTAGAATATTAAAGTTAACATTAAGTTACATGTTCTTGTGAATTACAAACAATTGAATATGGACAGTGCCTCAGCAGAAAGGCAATTTGCAAACACCTCATGTTAAAAGTTGTCATTGCTGTCTTAAAAATGAAAACTATATTTAAAAACACTGTATATAATTGAAGATAAGTTATTAATTCAACTCCTGGTACTATTTTTATAATTTATAAGGTGATAAATCAATATGTGGTTGTGAATCCGTCCATAGCAAACCACAACACAAGAGGTCAGTGTTCTTAATCACATTTTCAAACTCATGATTTGATTCTTCTTTTGAAAATTATCAACTATGCTTATCAATACTTGTCATAGGCTCAAAACAAGTATTTCCTGCCTTCAAATAATTTTTCTTCATTTTTGATGCATCATGTTTGTATTCCTGTGCTTATTTTTGTTTGAATATATACTAATACTATTGTTTTTTCCATAGGGAGACGTAATGAAGTTGTCATTACTGAAAACAATAACAGCATAACTGAGCAAATCACTGACGTGGTGAAGCAACCGGCCTTTATTGCTGGTATTGGTGGTGCCTGCTGGGTAATTTTGATGGGTTTTAGCATATGGTTGTATTGGAGAAGAAAGAAGAGGAAGGGACTCAGTAACTATGCTGGTAAGTGACTATTTCCAGCTAAGAAAATCTCTTAATCTGTAGGAATGTAATGAAATGAATGGAAGGAGCAGAAAGGAATAACAAATGAGTGATTTTGGCTTATTTTAGAAACCTGCACTGTAAAATGCAATTACACTCAACATGCTTTAATGCATTGCTCTTGACCATATCACTTTATAACCATGAGGCGAAGTCATTCTGCTTGTAGCTCCAGTGAAGCATAACAAGAGCACAGACTGATAAAAATGCTTAACTGTTTTTCTCAACTAGTTCTTTGAAATCATAAACTCATACACACACACACAGATACACACATACACACACACACAATGTGTTACATGCTATGAAGCCATGTTTGAGAAGTGGATTTATGCATGAGCATTACTTAAATGTTCAGGAAAGAAGAACATTTTGAAATATAGCTTTTAGTGTGTCAGGATGCAGATTACAATAGGAAATGTCCCTCGTGAAAAATACTGACAAGCAAAAATCTCACCAGAATTGATAAGACTGATGAGGCATGAATTAAGTGATTTACTGTTCACTTACATAGACTCTTATTACAATGCAAACAAGCAGTATTTTAAAAGAAAAGGAAAATGAAGAGAAAGAGAAAGAAGCTGAAGCAGAACAATAAAAAGAAGACCCTAGATGGTCTGCACATTCACAACAATGTTTTCTTCTTAGAATCCAGGACAGAGTTTCAAGGGTGTCCTATATCGTGGCCTTCAAAATATCTCCATGGTAGAGAGAGAAGAGAGAGGAGACACAAAATTGTAAAGTCAGTGATTGACAGAATTAACTCAATACTGAAGCGACGTTCGATTATAATTTTAAGTGCAGTTTATTTTAAATATTTTCTCCAATAACAATAAGAAATATCTCACAACATTTCACACTTTCTAGAATTCACAAGGGACCAATTTTAATTGGACATGATTTTACAAATATGTAAGAAGTTTTTGAGACATTGCATTCAATCTTCTATTTCTAATATTAACTTAGCTAGGAAGCATAAATGTCTTAGTAACTGATTTTGACAGAGGCGTCATTGGTTATTAAGCTTTTAAGATGCTGTGGGTTGTAGGCGCCTAAACTGCTGAGAATGTGGAAATAGTGCAAAATGCTGAGTATAGCACTGACTTGGTTGCCTTGCTTGTTATTTGATGCATTTATATGTTTATGATCATTTGATTATAGCATTGTAGCTTGTGTCTGTATCTTATGAAGATAAAATGTATTAGTTACTTGATAGAATACATTTCCAGGACCAGAGAAAGTAGTACAGCATATCTATTGACAAAAGGCTTCCATGTTTGGTGACATGCCATCATCCTGCCATTCTCATTTCTCATTGGTTGCTGCCTCTCTGCTTCCTCATAATTTGTCACCCAAGTGCTATATCACTTCAACAGTGAGGGATTCTTTGCAGAAAGGGGTGCTAGGCAGTAACTGCTGAGTGTCAAAGTCTGGAAAATTAGTGATACTTTAATGTGCCTTCTTGTTATGCAGTCCAGTTCTCTGCCTTCATTGCTGAAGGCATTGCCCATCACCTTTCTGTTTAATCAGCCGCCGTGTTATATTACATCTCTGTGATACACTTGTATAAATCATGTGAAATATAAGGAAGAACTGATTTAATTCATGGACTATTTGGTGTGTATCCCTTTGCTTGACGTTAGCAATGATAATAAAAAATTGACTATGCTGGTCAGTTCAGTGCAAAGTTCTAATATATTCACATTTGGAGTGTTGCATTTTTATCCTCCATATTTCTTCATTCACTCACTCCTTAGAAATAAAATATCTCTCATAGGTAGTAAGTTTATACTGTTAGTAAAATTACACCAGAGAGACTTTTCTTCTTTTTTTAACAGCAATTCTTTGCACAGCCTATGCACTTAATTTGAAAATAGATGTTGATCATTGAGCTTGACAAGAATAGTACATTTCCTATTACAATTTTTTATTGTTATTGATACTCATCTGCTTGTAGAAGAACTGCTAACTCAGAAGGTGCTGTGCCCTTCAGGTATTTTGGAATAAGGCCAAGCCAGAGAGAAGCCTTTCAGAAGTTTTATACTTAACTGATAGATGGCTGACTCTGAAGATAACAGATTTTATGAAGCTCAGTAAATATAAACAATTTAATGTGAGTGAACAAATTATGTGAAATGCTAAACACTTCACACATACGTCTTAAAATCATCAGTGAAATATAAATTATTGGACAAAACCATCCAAGGCACTTAAAAGATTTAATGGATTTTTTATACTCTGATTATCTGGGCTGAGTTAGTGCTTATTAAAAAAGGATGAATCTACATTCATATTTGAGAAATAGCTTATCGGGAAAGGGAATGAGGCTTGGCTGCAACAGTAAAGTTTCCATTTGGAGTAGGAAAATGTGACCTACTAAAGACAGGTACTCTGAAAGCTTCCTCACTCAAAATGTCAATTTACCGCAGTTATGTTTTCTCCTCTTCTACCCCAGTTGTAGCAGGCATGAGGTTAGGATTAATTCTGTGAGGTCATATTAGAGTTACTTTTTGTATGCTATAACCTTGCAAAATCTCTTTACCTTATATGTGTTGCAGAAATTGCAAGAAATTCAAAATGTTTTCAAAAACATTTTAGATTGTGGTGTCCGCAGAGCTTTTTGGAAACCTAAGCACTTATACTATTCAGTTAGTAGAAGCTAAAATATTCCGTGTGCAACTCCTTGAAAGTTCTTAATTTTTGGATACTAGCAGAGACTTCTGATTGAGAGTCACAGTTATTCCATAGGTATCTCTAATAAGCACAAAGTTACTACTCTGTGATTATCAAAATTGTGATGAGAACAAGATTGTCTGGCCACACCCAACCCTTCTTACAGCTTCAAGGCAAACACTTCTTCGAAATGAGAACCACCTCAAAATAGCTTTCAATTTGCTGTGGCGTTTTATTTGTATGTTCGTCTTTCTGCACACACACAAAACCCTGATCAGAACACCAGATATGATTTCCCTTTGAGGAGTTCTCATTGTTCATAGTTATTTGTAGTCTTCCCTAAACTTCATGATCTAAGAGAAGTTGTTCCTTTTGATCTACTTTTCAAAATAGAACCAGTTTTGCAGCATAAAGTAAAAAATGAAACTTGAAAAAGTGTTCCCTTTTTTTCTCTTCTTTAGAAACACAACTAAACAACCCATTAAGAGAAGAGTTTTTAAAAAATTCTGACAGAAATAATACAAAATGGACATTCAGATTTTGTACTAAATTATATATGAACATTTTTAAGGTCATCAAATACTTACATAATGTAGTGTGAAGTTTTGCCTTGTGTCGTTAATATGCACAGATACAGAGATAAATGTCTTTACGGAATACTTTGACACCCTATTGGCAGTCTAGAATCATTTGAAAACCGTATTTTAATGGTGATGGGAACAGAAACAGAAAATAGATTGTCCCAAATGCTTAATATGAAATATTTTTAAATTTAAATTATTTTGCTCACGGCATTTAGTTTTCAATTGCCAGATATTGGCCATACATACTATAGTGTTCATGCCCTAACAAGTTTGCAAATTAACTTTAATGCATTATGTGTATATATGTGTATATATATATATATCTTTTTTTTTTCTTGAGACAGAGTCTCACTCTGTCGTCCAGGCTGGAGTGCACTGGCATGATCTCAGCTCACTGCAACCTCCGCCCCCAGAGTTCAAGCAATTCTCCTACCTCAGCCTCTCGAATAGCTGGGATTACAGGCACTTGCCACCATGCCCGGCTAATTTTTGTATTCTTAGTAGAGACAGGGTTTCACTGTCTTGGCTAGGCTGGTCTTGAACTCCTGACCTCGTGATCCAACCCCTTGGGCCTCCCAAAGTGCTGGGATTACAGACGTAAGCCACCGCGCCCGGCCTCGTGATATATTTTTTATAAGGTTTTCAGTGTTCTATTATAATACTTTAAACTTTACATGTCCTGAAGAATTTGCCGCTGGTTCGTGTATTAAAGTTAAGTACAACTCAATGTTTGTACCTCTGCTTCTGTTGTCCTCCTTTCCTCTAATATTATTTATTGCTCTGGCACTAACAGAAAGTTTGAATGGGACAAAAGAGCATCTAAATTAGGGAAAACAATTTAGCTTCTCACATATCTCTTAAACAGCACATTTTGAGGTGTAGCCCATGAGCATCTGCTTATTTGCATATTCACAATAATATTCACACCATTATCTTAACTCTCTTTTAACAGACTAAAACAATCACTTGATAGTCCATTAAGAAAAACCACAAACTAGAAAGTCACATCAGATGGAAGGCTAATTAGCTATACTGTTTTCACATTGCGTGTGTACTAATCAGGCATTTATTTAATATCTCCAGTGCTCAATTTTTTGCATTAATTATTTCAGATTAATTCTTTTTTGTTAAAAGCAGTTATTAAAGGGGCACAATGTGGGACAGATGCACTGCTGATTCCTGATTCCGCGCACTTCAGTGAGCCTTTCGCATTTGTATTCTTTCATCTTCTCTGAGCATGTGCCTATAGCCAGTGCTGAGCAGATGCAAAGGTTATGTCAGGATTGTTCTGCAATGCGTTTGAGATATTACATGTACAACTGATAAGGCAGAGTATATTTCAGGTACCAATAAGAACTTCCTGAGAGCCCTGATATGCTTTACTGTCCCATGAAGACTCTTGGAGTTTATAATCATATTACCTGATTCTGATATCATGAGAGATACTATTAGTAGATAACCTTAAAGGAGGGACTTCATTTGGAAATTCGTAAAATTTAAAGAGTCATCACCATATCTGATAGCCCAAACTTGAGAACAGAGGAGTTATGGAGAGTTACTCAAATTAAGAAGTATTCACTATGTGTATATATTAAGTGGCAATATATCCTCTATTTACTTACAAATATGAATCAACTAATTAAATTTCATTTATTTTCCCCTGTACTTACCACATTTAAAAAATCATAGTAAATATAGTCAATGCCTTCCAAAGACAGAGTTTACTGGGTGCACAGCAGTGAAAATGGTATTTTTTTCTCCTTCATCCCCAGTGATTGGTTTAGCCAATCCACGTTAATTTTGGTCAGAATTGCAGGTTCATTGCACTTTTGCAAGCTGTACACTTCTAAACTCCACATTTCTTTTTAAAAATAATTTTCTAGTTTGCCATAATGTAATGGCAAAATTTGATCCAAACTAATGTGAAGCTATTTGTAGACTTTATTCTACTAATAATGGATGTTCACATTCCACTGCAGAAAAACTAAATAACTTTGAATACAGTTTACTGTTTTAGAACCTCTTTGTAATATGCAAAGTATATTACCTTTCTCAATTCTGAATCATTTTGGAGTCCAAATACCTTTGGCTGCAGAGGTTTGGGCAATGGATGACAGACCTGAACTGATAATAATGTTCTTTGACCAGTCGTTAAAATCCACTTTCATGTTGTTGGCTTTGTAGACTTGAAACTATTGACTGGAGAGAGGAGATTCACTGGATTCACTGGCTGTAGCTCTGGTGGATGCTTACTGGTGTTGCTAATAAGTTCCATAGTTATATGGAGGATTCAACTTTTCTGATCACTACATACAATTAGGAATATATTCAGTATCAATTATTTGAAAAATTCATTTTTGTGAGCATGTTATTCTCTATTAATTATAGTTCACGTCTGTTGTAATTATCACTGTTTATGAGGGTCATCAAAGGATTTGTGATGGTGAAAAATCTGTAGTCAATAAGTTTCATTAGAAGGACATAACATGTTGGAACTTCCCTGCTTCAATTTCTATTATGAGTGTTTTGCCTTATGCCTTCTAATTAGGACACCTTTGTTTTAAAATTAAAAATCTTGATTTGATAAATTCACAATAATGTTACGATGATCTTGCAATATCACTATATATACTCATTATAACAGGTTTGACATTTAAATACGAATTGGTTCTTTAACTTAACCTTGGATTTGGCTTAAAGAATTTTGAAATGTCCTATTAAAATTGGAGCAAATGATGGCTTTGCCTTGGGGCCAAACCACTGTTACTCTCTGTACAATTATGTTAATTATATTTTGTTAAAATTCCCAGAGGCCTCAGCTCTAAACTAAGGGCCAATATGTAGTTGTTATGAATTGTAATTAATATTGACGACTTGTGCGTGCATGTCTTCCTTTTTTTTCTTTTTTTATAGTTACGTTTCAAAGAGGAGATGGAGGACTAATGACCAACGGAAGGTATGCTAAGGAGATGGCTTCATTAGTATTATTTTTTTAATCAGGACTGGGGAAACACTATAGTAAGAGGCTATTATTGTAATAAATGATCATTTAAAAGTCTGAGAATTCTGGGAGGAATTAAATGGCTTAGCACAAAGTTTAATGATCTATCTGTTGTGCACTTTAGAGGAATCAGGTCCAGATGTTTCATATCTCCCAGATGCCCCTGAAGAAATTAGTAGTAAATATCACATGGAATGTGTTCATTTGTTAGCAGGATGTTTATTGCATTAATTAGACATTAGCAAATGAAGTTGCTGTTGTTTAAGACTCCTTATTGGCTCTCACTAAATTGCTGTGAGTGAACAATTACACATAATCGATCACAAAGTAAATGATTCATGGATGATGAATAGGCTATAGATTGATAGGACTGGATTCCACAACTTTGGATACTCAATTGAAATTGATAAAAGCTGATAACAAACTCATATATCCTCATCTATTTTCCCTTTGCCAATATGGAGATTGTAATTAGGCCCTGGTAATAACTTCCAATCTCCCATGTAATCAATATTTTAGCAAAAAGAGATTAAGTCTAATGAGAGCTTGTGGATGTAGCAAGAAAGCAGTTGGGTCTTCTTATTGCAGTTTCCATAGAAACACATGTTTCTCTTAGGGATTGTACCAGAAGGGGTCTATCAAAAGAAAAGTGTAATGATTATAGATGTTCTATTTCCGTGTAAATATGCTAGTAATCTGGAAAGGAATCAGAATCCCATCTTTTATATTAAAGAAGGGAGTTCTTTATTAAATATGACGTGAAGGAAATTTTCCTCATAGACTATACTCACATGCTGGATCAGATCACAGTGTATCTTTCATTACCTTAAAAAAAACCCTTAATATGCCCTTGATGTTTTGCAGATAAGAACTTGGAAATGTGCTATTGATGGAGAGTATAAATACTGTTCATTAATTTCGCTAAGTTCCTTGTTCCTTGCCTCCAAGTCAAGCGTGAAGGGTCATAACAAGGGTTACAGCCTAGAGGGGACAGATACATAAGGGAGCTGCGGGAATTGAGGAAGGAATAGCCCAAAGTTTTAGAAATGGCTGACATAGAGAAGTCACTTTGAGCAGTTGTTCCCTTGAGGTGCCAATTTATCATCAAACCTTGTTTTGGGATCCTAGTATGTTATTGATTCCTACCAGTTTCAGGGCAGACACCTGAATTCATCTGGACATGGACAGAATCCCGGGCAAGGACTCCCTGTGTCCACTGTTAATCTATGTATAGCCTTAATGAATTGCTGGAGTTATTTAATTCTAGGGAGTCTACATATATTAATTTGAAGTCAATTAATATCTTCGATTTCTTAACCCTTTATATTGCATGAGATGGGTGTCAAAATCTTGCATTGAGCTCCATGCATTAATTTCCTTGTAATCTCTGTTTTAGCCGTCCAGGTCTTCTAAATGCTGGTGATCCCAGCTATCCATGGCTTGCTGATTCTTGGCCAGCCACAAGCTTGCCAGTAAATAATAGTAATAGTGGCCCAAATGATATTGGAAATTTTGGCCGTGGAGGTAAGTTATGTTTTATAAATAACGTTATTTGAGTTCTCTCTCTTTTTTTGACCTTCCTGGATTTTTTTTAAAGAGACATATCAGAGAATATTTACTCCCATAATTAAAGTTAATGAAACATATGCACCAACAGTGCTGTACATTTGCTAAATATTTTAATGTGAAACTATTTTGTCTTTATTACCTTGAGTAAAACCAAACTTTTAAGGAAGCTATTACTAACCAAGATGATAAATATTTATAATATATTTGTTTGCAGGATTACTAGTACAAGATTACTGAACTCAGAAACTGTTTTGCTAACTAGGGCTTATGGTTTTGGACTAGAGGTTTCCCTTCTCTTTCTCATTTAACATGTATTTATTGAGCATCTCCTGTGTACTTGGCACTATGGAAGACCGTAGAATCTAATATTGATATAAAAAAGATGGTCCTTGCCCTCATATAATATGTCATGTAAGAAATAGACAATTAAGTCAATATAACATCTTGAGAGAGAACTTTTCTGTAGTTCCACAATTAATAACTGGTATCCAAAAAAAAAAAAAAGACAAAAAAGTACTAGGTGGATGACATGCTAAAGCCTTCAAAATTTGGTGCCAGAGTCCTCTCCCTGTGGGTTTGTAAGGAGACAGAAGTAACCTTCTGTAAAAAACTACCACCTTCCCCTGCCTTCACCTTGTCATCCAGTCACTACGAGAGAGCTTGGTTGATGAGAGGAGTAGGGAGCTCTCTGATCTCAGTGTGGCTTGGCAGGTTCATGTGAGTTTTCCATTGGTGGAAGATTATACAGACATTAAATATACTTAAACTGCCTTGCCAGAACCCCACATGGAATGTCTACCAATTGGGAGGAAGAAAGCTCTATGAACAGAGTATTATTTAAGTTGATACCTGAAGCAAGCTTAAAAATGAGTCAAAAGTATGAAAAAAAAAAACAGTGTGTAGAAAAGAAATTGCTCTATTTTAAGTTCCAGAAATAAAAGACATTGACCTACTTGAGAAATGCAAGAATTTCCTAATGACTTGAGTATAAAGTACGAGGAAGCAGAAATGGTAAGAAACACAGAAGGATAGCTAACAAAGGACCTTTTAAGTCACATAAAGAGTTTAGGCTTCGTTCAGAGGGTTATCACAAGCCGTTGATGGATTTTTAACAGGAGAATGCTGGGATCCAAGTACTGTTTTAAGTCATCCAGCCTGCTGCTGGATGAAGAATGGAGTAACAGTAGAAAATTGGAGTGATTAATTAGAATAGTGCTGTGATCCAAGTAAAGCTGTATGAATTCGCTGTAAGATTTCAGGACTTTTAGAATTAATGAAGGAGGCTCAGGGCTCTGTTAAATTTTTCTGAGTCCATTATAAGCCTCAATGGGTTGATTTCATATGCATGAGTATATAACCAGATTGACTGAGAACTGAGAAGAATAGTCATAGCATTTTCTCTTTAAGAATTGATTACTACTATGTTTGACTACATTTAAAATTGCATTTCAAATAATGAAGCTACTAATTATTGCATAACTCTGCATTCTGTCAGTACCAACTATGAGAAGGGGAATATATATATATATATATATATATATATATATATTTAGCACAAAGTTTGGCATACCATCAATGACCAGGCATCAGTGGAGTGAGAGAATGGAAAGTAAGTTATATGACTCCTCAGCTTCGTCTTCCCTTTCTGTAAGCCAACACACCCCACTTAGGACTCTCATTTGCCCAGAGACTCCAGTAGTAGCTTCCTCCCCTAAGTGACCTGACTGTGGTCAACTGTAGGCTATCACTTTGCCATGGGTAGTTTCTGTGCCTGAGCACCTGCTCATCAGGAAACAAAAATGTCCCACCCCTGCTATGTAGACTGATTTTGTCAAAAGGAATTCTCTTCCCACAGCTTTTATCAATCAAGGAATAACTGCCTCTTTTACCGCTTGTATTTTTATTGAAATAATATGACATGCTACTGTTTTATCAAGAAGTAAATGCTTACAGATGGAGGAAATGAATTTTCAGTTTCCACAAGGCTAACTTGACATGTAAAATGTCTCAGTCAAATTTCACAAAAGGGTACACTTGGAGATATGCAAGGTTTTTCTTCCATTTTCACAATGTGAAATATCTCATAGATGAACAGCAAGGCCAAGACAACATTTTTTAGGGTTGACTGTGTCCCTTATCCATGTGAGAGTCATTTTAAGCATTTACTCTGTGCCAGAAATACTGTTAAAATTTTTTTTGTATATTTTAATTCATTTTACTTGCATAGTAATGTATGAAATAGATAATCATATTTCCATGTTAAGGGTCAATAAACTAAGATTCCTCAAGATAAATAATTTGACATCTGGTTGTAGAAAACTCTGCTTTCTGTTGTAAAGGTGGATTCACATGTATGACTATATAACCATATTCACTTAGAAGAATAAGGATGGATACTGACATTTCCCCTTTAAGAATGAAATGACAATACATGTTTGAATGTAATAAAAATAGTGCTTAGAATAATAAAGTTACTAATTATAGCATAAATCTACATTTTATCAAAGCAAACCATAAAAAATTTATTTAATCATTCAAGTCAGCAAGTGCTTACTCTCTTCAAAACACTGGGTGAGCAATTATGAAAATGCAGACATAAATCCCATATGCTCCTGTCTTCAAGTGACTTTATGATGCAGTGAAGGAGACAGTCATTCATACAGATCATTATATAAAACAAAAGGAAATAAATGTGAGTACAAGTATAACCAGGGTGCTGAAAAACTACAGAATGAATTACCAATTCCAAGTGGAGGAAGGCTTTGTATAACTCATAGGTTTCAAACACAAGTGTTAACAAGCCCTCGTCAGACAGTCTAAAACATTAAGGATTGGTAGGTGGGGACTGCAATAAATGGAAATGGAAAAAAGACCTGCTAAAGATGGCATCACCTATTTAGGTCTAGGCTTTTGGGAGGAAGGCCAGCCCAGAGTTCCAAATCATCTGATATTACAGGACTCTTCTTAACATCCAAATATTCATGTGCAATATTCCAATATTTCGATGTTAGAATATAATTCAGTTTATTTTTTGAAAATGTAGGGATGATCAAATCATATCTGAAGACAATATGCAGCCTAAAAATCAATACAGAAGCACTTAGACTTAAAGGCTGACTATAATTTTATCTAGCAGGGATAGGAGAGATTCAATTTCCAGAGCCATAGCATTAGTTGTATAGCAATATTATGTGGGATTAGATTCTTGGACCACTTTTCTTCATTGTTTAACATTTGAGCACACAGTCATTTGAAAAGCTTGCCATTGAAATGGCTTGCAATCCACATCTAAAGCTTTGAAGAACTTTAAATTCAAAGTGTGTGAAATTGGAGCCCACGTTGGGGAATCATGTATATTCACTTAATATTCATCAGTGAAGGACATGGTGGAAGCGGCAGAAACAAAAGTCTGAAAAATCACCCAGAGTGAAGGATCTATTTTCACCAATTTGGATATACTACATCTTAAAAGTTTTTGAGAAATAAAAATAATATTAACACTTGAGAATGCAATATGCTTAACATCAAATTTTGTAATTAGTACATAGCTCAAAGAAAGAAGGGCAAGAAAGTAGTTGTGAAGTTCTGAAATTCAAAAATAATGTTATTTGCTCATACAGCCTGGTGAAATATTATAAGTTTAAATACGTTTAACAATTTCTTATACACATTTAAGATACTTACTTCAATATATTAAGTACATATCCACTCAATTGTAAAACAAGTTCCAAACTTCAAAACCTTCATAAAGATTTAAGTTATACAGTATAAAAAATACAGTATACATTTCTTTCTACAGTTGCTAGACAGTTTTTAGCTTAGGTGAAATTCAAAAGCAAAAGTAATATTTCTGTAAGAATTGTTATTTCAGGTACTATTGAGCATCAGCTAATCTAAAAGTGTTAAGATAGTTGAAAATGTCCTATAATGAAAGAATGAAGTGATTTCATGACCTCAAGTCCCATGAAATGAAGCTTTCAGAAGACAGTTTATTTTAAAATGTACTATATAATAATTAGATTCATTTTAACTCTACATGATTAAAAATAGTGTTATTTAGTGATTTCTATTTTAGATTCACTCGGTATCTTTCTTCCAAAAAGGGAAAATAGGAGCTCAGGAGAGAGGCGGCGGTTCTGAATTGTAAAGCATCATGTAAAAATAATTCAGCACACCAGAATGAAAAATGGACTGATTGATATTCAGTGTTGTTCCTGAAGTTTAATTTTACTCTAGCTGTATTACAACATGAAACAGTAATTCTCTAGTTCGGAGTTGATAGCATAAATTAAAGTCACCGATCACGGAGACTGCTTTTTCTATAGTTAAATTCTGCTATACTGTGAAAATGACTTATACATGAAAATTTTCCTTTGTTATTCAAGAAAAAAGAATGCATTCTCCATTTCTGGAGCAATGAAATCACACCAATAAGTGGCAAGTTATAACTTCAAAAAATGTACTTGATAGTCAGTGGGGTATAATTTTGGAAATGTTAGCATATATTCAGCCGTTGTCGTCCACGTCTCTTGGGATAAAGAGATGTTTTTCATCTGTGGGTTGTGGATTCGCTATCACTGCTACTGTAAAGTGCTAACGCTTTCCTTGGCTCTAACACAGAGTGAACAACTGAAAGCAGTCTTCAGTAGTGAAGTATGCCAACCGTCTCATTCATGGTTAAAGAAAATGGGGGGAAGGGTGTTTTAAGCAGTGAGACGTGAAGGGCGAGCAGTAGGCCTGCCTGTCACTGAGGCTGATAGCTTGGCGATGGTTGTACATCATCTACCCTTCAGTGGCTCATGAAGCCCATCTCAGCTGAAATGCAAACGTGCAGTGCGACACACTTATTTTTCATCTTCAATCCTGATTGTTTGGGCTTCCGGTGCCTCGTTAAATTGTTTCGTTTCCCTATGTTCACCTCACCACAGATGTGCTGCCACCAGTTCCAGGCCAAGGGGATAAAACAGCAACGATGCTCTCGGATGGAGCCATTTATAGCAGCATTGACTTCACTACCAAAACCACTTACAACAGTTCCAGCCAGATAACACAGGCCACCCCATATGCCACGACGCAGATCTTGCATTCCAACAGCATACATGAATTGGCTGTCGATCTGCCTGATCCACAGTGGAAAAGCTCAATTCAGCAAAAAACAGATCTGATGGGATTCGGTTATTCTCTACCTGATCAGAACAAAGGTAACAACGGTGAGTCAGGTTTTCGTTTCCTGAGGAGTTATTTTCATATCATTTGTGCATGACATAGAAAGTAGTATTTGTTGTTCGACTTAGTGATTCATTACCAGGTTTACCACCTAAACTAAAAAAAGATATTGGCATGTTTCCAGTAACTTGAATAATTCCTACCACCACCGCCACCGCCACCACCACCACCACCACCACCACCTCCACCACCGCCACCTCCACCACACACCAGTGCCAATCGGTTTCATCTTTTAGCTCTTTTTCAACATAATGATCAACAATCCATCTCTACTTTCATTAGGACAGGGTAGACAAAACATTCCTCCACTCTCCCACATCTGCTTCTGAGTTGCTAACTGCATGTTCTGCATGGGCTTGTGCTGTGAACTAATCACATGATGCCACTATGACCTCTGCCCTTTAACCCTTAGCCTTACTTTACATTCCTGACTACCGATTGGCTGAGGGATTGTCTAATAGAATGCCACACAACCAGTCTCAGGATTTCAGCACCACCAGCTCTCACAACAGCTCAGAAAGGAGTGGCAGTCTCTCAGGTTGGTCTCATCACAGTAAGGAGAAATATTTGTTTGTCACCAGCATATGACCTGTGTTCCTAACAACCATGAAGATATACTGAATCACAGCTCACTGTCAGGCATTTATCTGTCAAATGACAACAGTTTATGCTAATGAAATCATGCCTTGGTGGGATAAAAGGGAAGAGAAAAATCACTGTCCCCTTTTATATACTAACTCTATGAGGATATATTTAAAGAAAAATTATGCCATTCTACTAAATACCATTCATTAAAGAACAGAGTAAAGAATTTTGTGATAAAAAGATCATACATGAAAGTCAATTCCATGTTATAGATACCAAAAGATGAATTGAACTAAAATGAAAATGATTTTGGAGTGCTTCATAATATTATTATATAAATGATGTTAACTCCTATTTTTAGACACGATTTCAAAATACCATAAAATAGGATTTGTTATCTATTGAATGGTATTCTGCTGCACTGTACGAGAAAGTTAATAGGGGAAATTAATATTTAATTTCCAAAAAATCATACAGTCTTTGATATTGATAATTATTTTATGGTATAAATTTTAATATGTATTTGAGATATATCAGATAAACTGACAATCTATAATGTCGGTATCATATAGCACAAATGGAAAGAAACACCTTTACTGGACAAAAATATATACCTATCGTAATGACTTATGTGTGAAATTTTCCTGGCCCAAAGATCCTTACCTGTAAAATGAGGAGGTTGTAGTAGACACACTCTAACTTTCAACCATGACATTTACATTGTATGGCTGATGACTTTGTGCATTTCTAATTTATTCCATGACCCCACTTGTCTAATTTGTTTGAATTAACTATATGCTATTTGTTTGTACTGAGATTTTTTTTATTTTTTTAATTACAGGTTATTTGTAAAAGACTATAGTGTTTTATGGCATGTCACAGGCTACCAGGCATCAAAGCCATAAAGAGTTAAACTTTTCACATCATTAGGGTAACATTTTCTAAATTACTTTTCCTCAGGAGATGGAACCCTTTCAGTCTGAAAATGTTAATGCTCCTTCTTCCCTTCAAAATGGGTCATTTGCTCTTCTTGCCTATTGGTAGAATTAGCTATATTATAGAATCCAGAAAATTTTAAACATCTGTTATGAATTTAAACGGGTTTGATAATATAGGAGAACTTTTGTAATGACCTTATGTGTCATTTAGACTGCCATTTATTCATAATAAGTCTCACAATTGTTCTGAATAATTAAAAAGTAATTTATCCTGGGCTTCCTTTTTATTTCATTAAAGATATGCAAAGTCACATGCAGTACGTAAAAATGAATCTATATACTATAATCCATGGATTACGTAAGACTTTTAAAAATCTTTCTTTCTTTAAGTATTCTATATGTGCTGATTGCTCCCACCAAGTTGTAAAAGTTGTCTTTTGAGTGATTGTAAGCAGAACACAATTCACAATAGTGCTTAGTGCTTTTTCAAATCCATTAATCTCCTGAGTGACATTTATATATATCTATGAATTATATTAACTACTTCATCTACATTTGAATGCAAAATTACTTAAATCGATGATAGAAAGCGTTCTTTAGTAGGTGAGAGTGAAGTGATTATTCTCTTTTTAGTTTAGCTCAATTGAGTTTAATATTAGGGTTTTGTCTTATGCTTATAATCACAGGTGTGTTTCCTAAGACTTAAATTTAAGATCAAACCACCCTGTGGAGAGCTAGTCAGATGGTATTATAAGATTTTCCTAATTTGTGCATAGCAATGTAAGCAATTTAAAATAATCACAGTGATAAAAGTGGACATTTCTGAATTATTTGAGTGAGCGTGTCACCCTCTTTGAAACACTTAATATTTATTCAATACATAAGTTCTGAGCACTTCCATTAAAAATCTAACCATTAAAAATATAAAATCACCAGCCTGGGCAACATGGTGAAACCCCATCTCTAAAAAAAAATACAAAAATTAGTCAAGCATGGTGGCACTTGACTGTATTCCCAGGTACTTGACAGGCTGGGGTAGAAGGATGCTTGAGCCTGAGAGGTTGAGGCTGCAGTGGATGTGATTGCACCACTGCACTCCACCTGGGTGACACAGTGAAACCCTGTCTCAAGGGAAAAAAAGTGTATATATACATATATATTAATATATACACAAATCAAAGAATTTATATATGTAAGTCATTAAAATACACTCCCTTAAAAGATAATATAGGCAATTCCCACCTTAAAATGATTGAAGGTTCTTTGTTTGCAAGTAACAGCAACAGACTGTGGCTTACTTCACTCAAGGTTCAGATCTCAGAGAATGTATAAGTGGCTTTGGTTCTGTCGTCTGCTCTCCACCATGCTGTGAACCTACCACTGCTCACGGCTAAAAGAAGTCAGGTGTGTTGATTTGTAATCCTGCATGCACTGCCCATAATGAGAGAGCAGAAAGTTCCTCAAAAGAAGAGAAGGTGATTGTTGGATAGAAAGCCCTCACACGTCTTCTGTGAATCGCCCCTGTTTCCAAAACACATTTTTAAGTCTGTTTGGAAGAGTAGGTGATGAATGGCTTTCTTGAACTTTGGACAATGACTTCAGCAGAATTCAGGGCTCTAGAAGCAGTAATTTCCAGTAAAGAAAGCTGCTGCACTCTGAATTCTGATTTTTCTTTTACTGGGTGAATATGGACCACGTGACACTCAGAATGAACCTCAATTGCTTCATTGATAAAACGGAGATGCACGAACTTGTCTGTTTCTGTTACTCAGTTCTGGTGGTGACCACCTAACATTTCTGAAAGTACTATGGAAAACGAAAGGTGCTGTATATTTTTAAATAAATAAGGAATAAAGGAGGTGCAACTAGAGAGAAAGCTATGGAAGACAAGTAGCCCAATCTAGTCCCCTTTTAATCATTGAAATAGAGTTCTGATACTACAACAGAAGAAATGGTTCCTGTGTTGTAATTTTGCTGACTCATCAGGAAACAAAGGATTAAGGTTCATCTACCTTAAAGACAAACAATACAGATTTATATTCAAGCAAGTTTATTCTTATTCTGAGAGTCAGGCTGTTTGTGGGATACTCATGGGGCCTGGAGAAGTTGCGAATAAAGAAAGCTTTAGAAATAAGAGGAGCTGGGTTTGCTCTAAGATAGAGGATATGGGAAGGAAAGAACACAAATGAGTGGCATTTATTGAAAGTTCTGTCCATTCTGAGTAGTTGATACACATTGTCTCTTGTAATTCTCAAAGTCACTCAAAGAAGTAGTAACTCAATATCTGTTTTACATGTGCCAAAATGTAGGCAGTAACTATTGAGTAACTTATCCAGTAAGTGGGAAGCTGGTCTGTAAACCCAGATGCGAAACCTTATCCTCTAAGCAAAAGATATCTGCTCTCCTTCCTCTTAAAATCTTTTATTCTGCCAAACAAGTACAATAAAAGTCAAGGTGAAAGCAATTTGTGTGCAGGGATGTTCTTCGAAATGTGTGCGAAGGTGCACATGCTATGTGGAAAACATACACAATTTTATAACTGGCAATAAAGTATATATCTAGTTGAACAGTTTTATCACTTCCTGGTGCTCAAATATGTTCCTGTTAAATTACATAATATTCGATATGGCTGATGCACATGAGTAATTGGTAGAAGTAAGGAGACAAGTAGGCTTCTAGTGATACTATAATATATTGCTAAATAGCCCTGCTTCAAATGGTTTTTGCTCACAACTTGTGGTTCCAGAAAGATGAAGTCCAAAGGATCAGTAAGATTTTTGGCAGATATTGCTGTAGGCTGTGGTGGGAGTCACGGAAGTTATATAATGTCCCCTGAAACGTCCTTTGTTATTCTGCTCCAAGAAATACTCATTCCTCATCTAACTGTGGTCCACTTTTAAGGAAGAAGCTTTATCTACTTAATTTTTGAAGAGTAAAAACCATGGCACTGTCCAAATGATAAATTATATTTTTTATATTTCATTAAGCTCCATGTAATCCTAGATATGGCTCATATGCTGCCAACTTACTTTCTTCTCATGTTTTGCGCATGAATTCATTCGTAATGCAATGCTACTGAAACTGATTACTGTATTAATTTTTCTTCCTTTTTGGAATGTTATGTCATGTTATGCTTAAAATAGCTAAGAACTATTCACATATGCAAAAACAATTGTGCTGTTCATTAGTTAAAAAGTCTATAAAATGTATCTTTGGAAAGTATTTACAGGTATTTTCTCAATTGTAGCTGATTGATTTTTATCAGTTACTTTCGAGATAAAAATTGGTACCCTTCCTGGATTAATTAAATTGAATACATTCTAAGCGAAGAGTTTAGCCTAGATCCTTACACCTTGCATTTTCCACTGAGAGAGATTATGCAAAAGAGCATTATAAGTGTACTAAAATTTGACATTTAAAAGAATTTGTTATGGCCCATTATTTCCTCTAACAATGAAAATGTGAAAGCAGCAGATGTGAATCAATCAATAAGCATGCTTTTGATACAGCAGCCATGTTTTTGGTTTATTCGGCCCTGCTGTTAATGCACTGGGGAAAAAAAAAAAAAAAAACAGTATCATTTTGAGTGATTTATAAAAATGTTTTTCTGATTATATCATTTCATTGTTTATAGCTTTTAACAACTCCAACATACTGATTCTGGTGTTTTGAAACATAAATACATCTTGGCGTCTGATGTATTCTATTTATTCTGCTATTTGGCATCTCTGAATAAATACGTTATTACTTTCAGGTGGGAAAGGTGGAAAAAAGAAGAAAAATAAAAACTCTTCTAAACCACAGAAAAACAATGGATCCACTTGGGCCAATGTCCCTCTACCTCCTCCCCCAGTACAGCCCCTTCCTGGTACAGAGCTGGAACACTATGCGGCAGAACAACAAGAAAATGGGTAAAGATATTTTATATACTAACAAAATGGCCAGGGCTCTCCTCTTGTCTCTGTTGTTCATTTTTGCCATCATCTTATGTTCTCTTACTGTTTCCTTTGCCCCCACCACCATGTTCACTGCATTTTCCCCTCTTTTACTGTTTGTGCTGTCTATATATTTTTAGCTGGTAAATACAAAACAGCACATATTGAGGACGGAGAATCCTTGGCCCTCAAGTGCCTTAGATTGTCTGCAATCATGATAATGCAGCCTCCATTTATAATATTGCTTGTTAGTTTGAAAGCAAGTACCCACAGCTCTGTGAACTAAAGAGCCACTCCTGAGAAGGGCTGAAAAGGGAATTAAAATAACCTTCTTCATCATCCCTTGCAGTTCTCTAATGACTTGATGTCTGGCCATAGCAGGGCGCCACTGTAGAGCTCCATCACAATGGGATAATTGTAGGGACCTGGCCAGTGGGTAGAACTTTAATCATCAGCTCTGATGGGAATTTAGGGGCCAGAACAATCATAGAGCCAATGCACACTCTGTAATGAAACCTTTTTAAGTTACAGCATTTTCTTCGAGGGCCTTTAAATGTGGTCAGTTTCCTTATTCTTTCCCAAATGTCTCACAAGAGTGGGTTTTCCTCTGTTAGTTTAAGCCTTAATTGATTTTAAATACAAAGACACTGATACTTTTTATCCTCTAAATCAAAAAAAAAAAAAAACACTGGTCAAAAAATCATACTGTTTCCTTTTCCAGTTTAATAATTCTGAATGTTTTGTCTTTCTTATAATTCCCAGGTCACTGTTTATTTTGACTGGGCCTTTATGTAAGCTAAAAATATAGATAAAAGCAGTTTTTCTTTTTGCAAGATTTTTTTTTACTTAGAAATATTTAGACATTAAAATAAATCAATTCATTTCTATAATGGCTTTTTTTTTGTCTTGGTTTAAAAAATCTCATATACATGCTCATACATTTTTTCTTCATCCTCTTTTATTTGTACATAACTCTTGTCTTTGAGGTCTTCAGATTAATTTTTCTAACTAGAATTTTCTATGTCATAACATTAGCTTCCTTTAATGATATCATTTGCATTTTGGTAAATAAAATATATATACATATATGCTCTATATATGCAATGTATATATGTATACACACACACACAAATATTTTTTGTCTATGTCTTCCTCTCCCTCCAAAAGCCTTCATTTGTCTCTCTGAGATTGTAGCACTTATCATATATGCATATATTGTTAGTTTAATTCTTTTAAGTTCGCATTTGAAATGGGAAACTAAAAGCATATTCTGTGTCCTCTTTCTCTAACTTAAAAATAAAATTCTGTAGATGATCTTAATTTGTATTAATGTTATAAATGTGTCAGTGTCACATGAATCATAAACAAAGAAAAACCAAAGCTGTATATTGCACAAGAAAAGATTATTACAGAACTTAGAAATCTGCATTTTAAAAGCTGAAGTCAGAGAATACAGAAATGGGGACTTGTAAAATGGGAAGAGAAAGTAGTGCTGTTAAGCTTTATATGCATAAAGTCTTGAACTCATATAACATGAAAACTATGGATAATTTGGAGGGTTTTTTTCCCATTGAGTCTACTAAATAATACATAGACTATAGTAATTTCTGTAAACCCCTGCAATAAAACTAATTAATTCAAAATCAATGCTAAACTTCTCACTTTATTTTATTATCTTGCAGTGGAATTGGAAATATTCATGAAATAATAGATGAAACAAATTTTTATGATTTAACACAAATTATTTTCAGTATAATTAAGATATAAAACACAAAATTGTTTCTACATATTTGGAAACTTTATTTTTATGTATATATATTTTTGAGTCACTTACCTTCAAGTTCTTGTTTGTCTTAAATACCTAGTATTTGCTTAAAAAAAAGTTATAATTCTTACTAAAAATAGTGGTTAGATCTTAGTAATATTGACAACAAAATTCAATTTCATTATTTTTTGAGTTCAGTTTTTAAAAGGCTAACACTTGAAAATTATTATTTAATTGTTTATAATAAAAACACATATTTAAAGTTAATATAAAAACAACAAATACAAATTAATAGATTTTGGCATGATTTTATCCATTTTTTGATATATTCTTTATACTTTTATGTTTTCTAATTGGCGAACCATATGATACTGAAAAAGAAAGATTATTGAACACAGTACAGTATTCTACTGTTCATAATATTAAGTAATTCACAAAATAAGTCTTCAAAATTGATCTTCTAGAAAATTTTTCTGTAATTTAGAACCTTCGTAATTCGGGTTTAAGCTTTTCTTGATATACAAAGTATGAAAACTTCAGATACTTTTTTTGCTCCTGATAATTATTAGAGACCAGACACTAAACACTGTCTTGCTCCTGACACACACACATGCACACACACAAACACTCACAATTTTGTATGATAAGCACTAGCTGAGCAATGTGGAAGAACTAATAATTTCCCTACAGAAAGGGGCAATTATATATACCAGGGAAGCCTGAGGAAAGCTTGTAGAAGTAAAGTTTTGAGGTGAATCTAGAATCATTTATTCACGAATAATAGAAAAACATTTGGTGGCTGCTGGATGCCAGGCACGGAGCCAAAAATAAGGACAAAGATAACAAGAAAATGTCTGTCCAAAAGTGGTCTAGCGTTAGAATAGATTGTTAGTCAACAGCAATAACAAAATTGTACTATCGTTGTGATTTTCTGTGCGAATGGAGACAAATTTCCCTGGCGAAAGACCAAAAAAAGAAAAAAAAAAGACTATAAATATAATACAATGAAAGACGAGAAAACAGGAAATAGCAAATAGCCCCGTTAGTCTTCCTTCTGAATTCCTGCCCTCTTTTAGGGAAGGTTATTTGCCTGCGTGTTTTTGTTATTCCTAATGCTTGCTGCTCTATTGTAGTACTCCTCATGTTGCACTTCACTGCTGTCTGTGTCCTTTATCAATTTGTCACTGATGTATGAGGCTTGTTGAGTTTGAAAACTGCGTAGGGTAGGAGATAATCTAAGAAGATGTTTTGAAGCCAATTGTGAAGCTTTGTATGTCACATTGGAATTCTGATGTTTGAGTACAGATGATGGATTGGAGGATGTGAGGCTGGGGCAGGTAGATAAAGCATGGAATATCACAGTAGAATGGCTAATATCATGTAAATGATAGGGGAATAAAACAAAGCAATGGCAATGGGATGGAGGAAAGGTAAGTATTTAGGAGATATACCTAGCTAATGGTAATCATCACCTTGAAAATATTGTCTCTAGTTTTTTGTTACAATATTTAGTATTATTTCTAAAAAGCTTAGCTATCATCAGTTTTCATTCTAAGCCTTTCCCCACAATATCAAAATAAATATCAAAATAAAATAAAAAGTATCAGAATATCAAAAGTTACCAGCTACCCAAAGAAGAAAATTATTTGTTAATTCACTAATATAGCAACGAAGGCAATGCTTTATCCCTTCAATATTCTTCTCTCAGCTTGACAAAAATATGTCAAAATGTATTAATTCCTAACTATAAATACAGTGCATTTTATTATAGTCATATGATTCTAGGAAGAATTCAATGGTAATTAAATTGAAAAGTGGGGCTTTTCTTTGCTACTGCAATTGGAGATTGACAAGCTTCTGCCAGTGTTGAACTTTATTGTGTTTTTATTAGTAATTTGGTATTTGTGTCTGGCCTTTTACAGGTTCATTCACATGCAACATTGATTTGTTGTCATCTTTATCATTATTCACCAGGCAAGACAAATAATATGATGCCTCATAGTTCACTGACAATAAGTCAGAGAACAAAACCTTCTCCCAGAAAGGTTGATCAAAAGATCTTTGGTTTGGCATTAGCAGCATTTTCACAGTCTTTTTCAATGTTACTACAAGAAAAAGTTGAAATTCTATCACTCAAATAAGATGTGTATCTGTAAAATGTGAAGGAAACTAGATAAACAGAGCTACACTTCATAAAATTTATAGTGTCATCTGTTACTTTCTTAACCGTCTTCGGTAACTGCATGAAACCTAAGTATTTGTTGCTTGCAATGGATTAAGACATGAACACCGTAGAGATAACAGACCATTCTTCTCCTTCATGTGATACACTCCGTGCCCCAACTTTCCTTCATTTATTCTTTCAGGTTCTTTCAGTCTTTATCTCTTTTTCCATTTTTCCTCTTTTGGCACATGGTAAGTAGACGGATCTGTGGACACTTTTTAGCTTCGCTATCCCCGAAGGGGTAAAGAATTTGCTCCTTCCTGTTCTAAATTATCTTTACAAAAAAAAAAAAAAAAGACACAGAAAAATTGGTGACAATTGGCAGGGCGCGGTGGCTCAAGCCTGTAATCCCAGCACTTTGGGAGGCCGAGGCAGGCGGATCCCGAGGTCAGCAGATGGAGACCATCCTGGCTAACACGGTGAAACCCCGTCTCTACTAAAAATACAAAAATTACCTCAGCGTGGTGACGGCACCTGTGGTCCCAGCTCCTCGGGAGGCTGAGGCAGGAGAATGGCGGGAACCCGGGGGGCGGAGCTTGCAGGGAGCCAAGATGGCGCCGCTCACTCCAGCCTGGGCTACAGAGCCAGACTCCATATCAAAAAAATAAAATAAAAAGTGATAGCATTAATTCTAGTTAATGACAATAGCTAATGAAATATGTTTTAGTTAATTAGTGCATTAAGCAATGTATCTGACTGATGTCAAAAACAATATTTATATAGTTAGGCTCTCCTTGGCCTGACATTATTTGATTAGTAAAAATGAATCGAGTGCACCAAATTATAACTTTTCTTATGTTTTCTTAGCACATGATGCATGTAACACACATTTCTTCTAATATATTCTCTGTGAATTTTTATTTCATGTGTTTATACCCATTAGATTTTCAAAAGTAAGGATATCTTACCACCTGTGGAGTTCAGAAAAATCTTAGGAAATTATAATAGACTATTTCCATTTGAAAAATTGAATATGTAAACATTTTGTTTCTTTTTTCCAAGGTATGATATCCTTGGCAACGAACAAGTGTAAGTAAGGAAAGTGCTCCTATTACTTTTTGGCAAAAAAAAAAAAAAAAAAGGACTCTTTTGTAGTAAGATTTACAAAGTAAATTTAATTATATCTGGTTATGAAGCAAGCACATTTCATATTGAAAATTGACAGTTCTCTTGATTAGCCTCCTCTTATGTATTTCTGTTTAACTTAATAATGTGGCTTAAGTCAGATAAATACATTATGAAAAAAACCCAAAGCATTCTAATTAGTGGAATGATTTGTGTGTTTTCAAATCAAATCACTACATACGCTTATGACTTGCTCTTTTTAAGGTGTTATATTAGATGTAACAAAACAAGAACAGTTCAATGTCATAACTGTAATGCACTTGAGGAAAAGGTATTATAAACGTGAAAAGTTAAATACTAAAATAAATTAGTCAACAGTTACAGAAACCAACACTGAAAATGACATAAGACTGTATACAATCAATTTTCAAAAAAATGTGCAAACATATTGTCAGTGCAAGTTCAGAAGAGTAATGTATGAGAGCTGGTTGGCCTCATCAAGGAAATCTTCATACAAGATATGGGATTTAGCCTGTGGCTTGAAGGATTTATAAGATTAAGATAGGTAAAATTGGAGGAGTACAGCTTATTGGAAATAAGTTTGTTCTTAAAAATAAATGCACCAGGATGAGAAAAAAGTACAAAGAAAGATGAAAACAAACTGATTTATTCAAGCAGGAGATTCTTGTTGTAAAAACTGTCTGAAAAGGTAGATTGAGGCTTAGACATAGTCAATGGTTGGAATAAAGTGAAGTAAATATTTTTATTCAGACCATTCTGTTGTTTTCATAGATGAATTTGTAAGTGGCAGGCAAGATTGATTAGAGGATGGGAAAAACTAAAAGCAGCAAATCCCACCAGGACAGTGAGTTACAATATTTTAAAGCAATAGGATCTTTTTCCATGTGAAATTTAATTGTGATCTCCAACATATAAAACAGATAAAAAAAGGCATCAATTTTTTAGAGCAATATGTTTTTTCAATTCAGATTAGCACTGCTTACATAGTCAATTAAATGGGAATACAGTTTAAATGATGGTGTTTTCTAGTATAAAAATTGCTATTTGTGGCCGGGCATGGTGGCTCACGCCTGTAATCCCAGCACTTTGGGAGGCCGAGGTGGGCGGATCACAAGGTCAGGAGATCGAGACCATGGTGAAACCCCGTCTCTACTAAAAATAGAAAAAATTAGCCGGGCTCAGGGGCGGGCGCCTGTAGTCCCAGCTACTGGGGAGGCTGAGGCAGGAGAATGGCGTGAACCCGGGAGGCGGAGCTTGCAGTGAGCCGAGATTGCGCCACTGCACTCCAGCCTGGGCGACAGAGCGAGACTCCGTCTCAAAAAAAAAAAAAAAAATTGCTATTTGTAACACACTAGTGTGTGTCTGTTGTTTATAATGTCTAATATTATAATAGATATTCAGGAGGAAATACTGCTATCAAACCACACAGGACTTCTGAAACAGGGTCTTGCAACTCATTTACTGCGTAGCCTCCTCAAGAGAAGAAAATGGCCATGGGAACGAAAATAAAGGAGTTAAAATGATAACTAGCTTTGAAGGAAGAATCTTTGGAATTTTGGAAAAAGAGTTTAGGGGTCTAAGGAAATTGAACATCCAAAGATACTATTATTCCCCCCAAAAAAACAAACAAACAAAAACCCTTTCTGTAACTATCTGTCACCCACAGGAAAATGTCAGACTCCTTGTAGGGGCTGACAAGGCCTTCAGTGACCAGCCTATCCCTAACTCTCTTGCTTCTTCCATGGCCAATTTTCTTCTTTCTTTGCCAGCTCTTGGCATTTAGGGAAGTATTTGAACTCTTCAAATTATTTTCTCTTCCTCTGGGCTTCCACACGTGTTGCTTAAAATATTCCTTTTACTGGTGGTCAACATAGCCCTGCCCCACTCCAAAACTAGTTTAGACCTCCTGCTTTCTGCTTTTGTAGCATCATTGATTATTTGTTTCATATCAGCTTTCCCCACTGAAGTGTATGCTCTGTGAAATAGATTTAGGACCCTGACACATAACTGTCCAAACAAATAAATTTATAGTTGTTTTTTAAATAAAGTTTATATTTACATCTCTTTTAGGCTCACAGCAAAATTGAGCAAAAGGTACAGATTTATCCCAGCCCCCACACATTGATAGCCTCCCTAGCTATCAACATTCTCCACCAGAGTGGGACATTTGTTACAAATGATGCACATACAGTGACACATCATCATCACCCAAAGTCCACAGTTTACATTAGGGTTCTCTCTGTGTTGCACGTTCTGTGGATTTGGACGAATGCAATACATGTGTCCACCGTTATTGTACAATACAGAGTGGTTTCACTGCCCTGAAATTCCTCTGTGCTCCGCCTATCCATGGCTTCCTCCCATCTAGCCTCTGGAAACTAGTCATCTTTTTCCTGTCTCCATAGTGTTGCCTTTTCCAGGGTGTCAAGTAGTTGGAATCGTATTGTGTGTACCTTTTTTAGACCTTTCACTTGGTGATATGCGTTCAAGTTTCTCCCATGTCTTTCTATGGCTTGACAGCACATTTCCTTTTAGCAACAAATAATACTTCATTGCGTGGATATACTGCAACTTATTTATCCATCTACCTACTGGAAGACATGTTGGTTGATTCCACATTTTGGCAATTATGAATAACACCAATATAAATATACAATTTCAAATTTTATGATAAATTCAGCTTTTAAACAGAATAAATGAAAAGGCTTTCAAGTGAAATATTCAAGAATCATCCAGACATTTATGAGTTACTATTTGTAAGAAGGATCAAGACTACAGATGTAGATTTCTGATATTTACTAATACCACAGTTTCCCTAATGAATAGCTCCCATGTATGAGAAACTGTACTAGGTGCAAGAAGTAGCTGAGAATTACAGCTTTCTTGAATTTAAGAATCTCACAAAATAGTGGGAGAAAAGAGACACAGAAACAAATAATCTCAATATAATATGGGGAGTACCGCAACATAAGCATTATGGAATTGCAATTAATTCCATTTGGAGTAGGGAAGAGAAGACTTCACGAAACTGATGACATTTGAAGTGACTCTGGTTGAAGGAAGAGTAGGCACTTACAAGCAAGTGATTTGAGAACAGTCATAAACAGAGGCAGACTTTAGAAAAAAATAGAGTATATGGATGTTGAGGAAATAGTGCGAGATTAAGCTAGAAAGATGGGTTTATCAGATGAGGATGGGTTTTTTAGACCCACCTAATGAGTTTGAGAGGGTTTTTTTTTTTTTTTTTTTTTTTAATAATGCTAGTTATAATCACTGAATACTTTTAGGCTTAAGCATGATGTGAATGAAGATTTTAGAGACATAAATCTGTTGCATGTGGGTGAGAAAGGGTAGAAGAGAAGTTGATACCAGAAGAGTACGAGAAAGCTAATGAGCTAGTTTACAGCAGGAAACTGATGTGTGATTGTGGGAGTGGGGATTAAGTGTAGGAGAGTCACTAGATATTTAAGAGGTTGAATTTATAAGACCATTATATCCAATAATATTATTTATCTTTTCCTTGTCTGTGTTTAAAAGGATATTATAATCTATTTGATTTCTGAAAGTATTCGGACTACAGAGAATTGAAATAACAATGCTATTGATTTTGTCTCATGGTTAAAACTTTTTGGATTAATTTTCTATATTCGCAGACCACAGTCCCTAAAAAAATATGGTTTTAAATAATTGTTATATTTTACACTCAAAATTTTTTAAAAGGATAGATCGCATGCTAAACTTTTTTTACTACAATAGAAGTATCATTTTTATTTTATAGGGCAAGGTTCTGAACTCCCGTTTTATGTTTTACATTTGGATGACAAGATAAAGAACATTGGTTTTTACTGAGAAAATTAGGAGAATCAAAGAGATACTGAATGCATTTATATCATAGTCTTAATGACATATGGAATGAAAGGTTGTCAGATATCTAGAATAAGAATAAGTAAAATTCTCCAATACTTCTTAGATAATCAATCAGCTATATTGGCATGTAATGTTGGTGCACAAGTATGAACAGGCGAAGGAAGTAGTTAAATCTACGAGCACTAAATTCATTAATTGTCTTTAATTAGCAATTTGGTTTTTTCACATGAGTAAGTTTGTTGGGAGTTATTGCCTCTTGTAACTGTGGGGTAACAATTAGCTAATAAGGTCTTTTAAGAATAAATTAAGATATTGAGATAACAGATGTAATGACAATTAGAAGTTAAGATAACAGCCAGGTGATTTACTGTGGTGACACCAACAGCTTCAGGAAGAAATAAACCGCAAGAGCATTTCAGATACCATGTGGTTGCTACTTACTGCCAGTATAATTGCGTGCATGTATGTGTATGTGTATTTGTGTCAATGTGCATATTTTTCTCATTTAATTTCAGCTATGACAGTGATAGCTGGTGCCCACCATTGCCAGTACAAACTTACTTACATCAAGGTCTGGAAGATGAACTGGAAGAAGATGATGATAGGGTCCCAACACCTCCTGTCCGAGGCGTGGCTTCTTCTCCTGCTATCTCCTTTGGACAGCAGTCCACTGCAACTCTTACTCCATCCCCACGGGAAGAGATGCAACCCATGCTGCAGGCTCACCTGGATGAGTTGACAAGAGCCTATCAGTTTGATATAGCAAAACAAACATGGTAAATATCTTCATTAAGTCAAGAGACCCATACTTTCAACACATGGATTTTTTTAAAATAAATTCACAAGAGATTCTGATAGAACTACACAGCTAAGTTTAAAAGTGATTTTGTATAACTCCTTAATCATTTAGATAAATATATTCACTGCAGAAATGTTAAATAATTTGGCCAAAACTAGAACTAGAACTGAAACTGGAACTGGAACTGGAGCTGGAACTAGAACTAGAACTAAAATTAGAACTAGAGCAAGAATTCAAATCTGCTGTATTTCAGGCTGAAGTGCTCTTGGCTACACCAGAATCTTCTCTAATTTATGGTTTATCTTCAGTTAGCATATCCTTGAACTCACATCCCATGATGTAATAAAAGACTCGTTTTAGATTCCTCAAAGTGCCTGTGATTAATTCTGTATGTGGTTGTCAATATGTAAATGTGAGCTTCTGCAAATCACATATGGTCAGTATTAGTTATTAAAAGACTCTCTTTACCTGGGTTAAATGCAACAGAAAAAAACAACAATATTAGTATCAGTAAATGCATGAAAAGCAGGAGTAATCAGATATTTCACATTTCTTTTTCTAATCAATCTATAAACTTCTATAAACTATAGGTGGCAATTTACCTAGGTATCCTGAGGAATTAACACAGATATATAAATGAGAGTAACTCTCACAATTTTATACAGGTTTTTTTGTTGTTGTTATTCAATCTTTCTATTTTAATCCTCAAAGGCAAGACTGTTACATCACTATTTTAAATCTCCATGTCATACTCCAATTTTCTTCTGTTGATTTACACTTTGTTCTTGAAGTCTGAGTAAATTTTTTAAACAGTATTTGTTTTGTTTTTTAAAAGAGTTCTAGCCTTGGGGATAAATAATGCTTATGCCCATTATTAATGAAGAATTTATTTTTAAAATACAGCTCACTGTGCATAGAAAGAGATACCAAAAGCAGGAGTATTACCTAAAGATCATGACAAACAGCCTCTTTTCTCCAGATAAGACAATCTGGAACATTTTCCAGCAATTGTCAGATGCTTTCTCAAAGGTCAAAGACCACTTGCCGTTAAACGCTATTATTTTTCATCAATCTGCTTTTTATAAAACGTCACTGTGTAAGTTGAAGTCAGCTGCTTCCAGAGCCATAGAATTCCTTCATGTTAATGAATGAAGCAATGCAGTTTGGTTGTCTAAAGCACAGACTCAAGCTGAAGGGTTCTCAGATTTGCCTACATTTTAGAACCATTTGGATAACCTTAAAACATATTGGTACCTGGGCTCCACTCCAGAGAAACATTCTGACCGCCATGATCTGGAATTTGACTGCGACAGCCAAAGTCGGGACTACTGCTGTGCAGATGAACCTGTCTTACTGGCTGCATGACTTTGGGCAACTTACTCAACATTTACATGCTATAGTTTCCCCACGTGTAAAATGATGGTGATAATAGTAATTAGCTCATATAGGAAATTAGGGGGCAGTCCCCAAGACCACCTATATTTCTGATAGCAAGTATAAGTTTCAGGGGTCCCTAAGACCACCCTGAAGTTTGAGAATTTCCTATAGTAAGTCATGGAACTCACCAAAAGATTTTACACCCAAAGCTACAGTTTATTACAGTGAAAAGATATGCATTAAAATCAGCCAAAAGAAGAAATGCATGGGACATAGTCCAGGAAAATTCCCAAAGCAGAGCTTCCAGTTGTCCTCTCTCAGTGGGATCATAGACAGCGTTACTTTCCCAACAAAAAGCGTGACATTAAACACCAGGGAGAATTGCCAGCCAGGGATGGGCACACCTTCCCTGAGGTCCTGCGACTTCACTTTGGCTCTGTCACACGGACATTGTTGACTACCCACATGGCTGACCTCAGTTTCCAGCCCCTCCAGAGGCTGAGGTGATACCGTGCAACTCCAGGCCCCACCATAAATCATATTGCTGTGCTTTCTGGAGTAGCCTAAGGTCTCTAGGTAAACAGAGAGACTTTTATCAAGCAGGACATTCTAAGGGCTTAGAGATTACCTCCCAGGAGTAGAGGGCAAAGGCCTAATCTCTCTTGGGTCGAGCTTCAATTCTTCTGTTACATATCCTAATTTTTGTGAGAATGAAATGAGTATGAACTTATATACTACTGTACCTGGCTGTGTATTAGCTGTTGTTATTTAGAAAGGCCTGGGTTTTCACCCCTGAGTTCTTCACTGCTGTCTTCCCACACTTAGAAGAGTGTACCACTTAGTAAGTGCTTGATAGATATTTGCTAAAAGAATGAACAAATTAGTTCATCTCCACCTGCTCCAAACACCCATAGAGGATACCCTGTTTCTTTTTCTGAGTGTGTTCCTACTCAACCAGCAATCTTTCAGAACGTCTTGGCTGACTCTACCTATGAGAGTTATGAGCCTGCATGTGCTTCTGGTTTGGAAATGACTCTCCATCCGGGTTGCACATCGACATCATAGGAGGACCGTTGAACAAATAATAATTCCCAGGCTCCACCTCCCAGGATCTGTTTCTATTGATTGATGACGTAAACAGCACAGTGCCTGTCACTGGAAGATATTTATGAATGGGTTATGTATCCTCTTCCTGTATTTCATTTTACCTCTTAATTTTGCTTAAATAGGAGTACATTTTTCATCCATCAAGGTATATTTGTTTTATCAAGAGGTGTCAACAGTGATGTAGGGACCAGAGTGTTGGTCTGATCCATGCTTTCCAGGACCAAAGTCCACACCCTTATCGGAGAATGAATCATATTGCCCTATAGCTTGTGGCTCATCTCTTGGCTGCCTCCCTTCCCAATTCATAAGCAGATTGGAGGCAACATTTATAGCAAGATGTGCTCATCTATCCTCAAGCTTTTCTGTAGTAATACTTAGGAAACTTGCTATTTCTTCTGATTTTTCAACTAGCAGGCTGTGATGAATGCCAGATACTAACTTGGGGCCTCAACTTCCTAATCTATTAAAGAATGAAGATTGGGGTCTGATGATATTGAGGTAACTTCCAGAAGTAGAAATTGTTTTAACATTGAAATATCAAGAATCCTGTTAACATTGAGGTTGGTTACAAGTTCAAGAAGCCATTTGGGAGAGGAATATTAAACAAATTCGGGAAGATTAAAATACTTTCCCCAAAGCATGCAAATGACAGAGAAAAATAGTCTAATGTCTTTCATTCACAAGCCAACACTAAAAATGCATAGTACTTTTTAATATCTCCCTTGAATAGGAGATATTAAATACCTTACCTTTTTTATGAAGGCAAAGAAAATACTATGTTAAAACATGTAGTACATTCACTTTTTAATGCTGGTAACAAATAACAATGAATTGATTTCATTTAGCATTTTATGGTTTTGAAGAAAATCTGAGTAGACGCAAAACAAATCAACTGGACCTTACTGCCCAGCTTCACATTTTGTTAGCTACCTGGTTTGAAACAAGTCACTTAAATTTGACCTTCACTTTAATAAATTCTGAAGAAGGTTGGGCCAAGCATGATAGCTCATGCCTGTAATCCCAGCACTTTGGGAGGCTGAGGCAGGATGCTTGCTTAAGCCCGGGAGTTTCAGACCAGCCTAGACAATATAGTCCCACTCTACAAAACATTTAAAAACTAGTTGGGCATGGTGAAGCGCACCTGTAATGCCAGCTGCTTGGGAGGCTGAGGCAGGAGGATCACTTAAGCCTGGGAAGTCAGGGATGTAGTGAGCCATGATTGCATCTCCAGCCTGGGTGGCAGAACAAGACCCTGTCTCTCAAAATAAATAATGAATGAATGAATGAAGAAATAAATAAGAGTTGATAATGCATGATCTATTTATTTCATAAGGCTGAGATTAGAATTATTTATTCATTGCAGAAGGTTTATGTAATACACTAGTGTTCTAAACAGAGAGAATGCTTAGATGAATCGTTTATGCCTTTGAGGAGTTTAAGACTTTGGTGAGTGAGACAGATGCGTAAATAGCTACTAGAGCAGAAATCAGTTGTGCCTGCCCTAGACTGGGTTACAGTGAACGTGGAAATCGCCTTCCAGCCTTGATGTGAGAGGGATTGTGCGGGGAGGAAGCCTTCTAGGGTGGGGAATGTGTTCAGGGTTGGGAGGTAGGGAATACTAGGTCCTCATGTGACATCTTTTCTTCATAAGGGCCAGCAGGCAGCATGGGTTACACAGACTGAGTAGAATTTTGACACTAAACTGGGAACAAAGGTATAGTATTTTTGGAGAAAAATGTCCACTTTAAATAGTTACTCATGGCGAATATTCCTAGTCCCCTCTAGATGACTTCTTTTCACAAAAATCCTGGGTCCGTATTTTTTTCCTCCATGTATTATCCCAAGAGAAGAGTTTAGTGGTCTATGTTTTTCTTGTTTGGTGAAGCTCATATTCATAGTCACTGTCTCTGCTGAAAGCATTACGAGCTCCAAAATTAGTTAAAGGAAAGGAAGAAGACAATATGAGTCACTATAGCATGCATTTCATTAAAATTATGATTTTGTTGCATGTTAATGAGTTGCTTTTCTTTTGTAAATTTCATTTGAATTCTAGGCACATTCAAAGCAATAATCAACCTCCACAGCCTCCGGTTCCACCATTAGGTTATGTGTCCGGAGCCTTGATTTCTGATTTGGAAACAGATGTTCCAGATGATGATGCTGACGACGAAGAGGAAGCTTTAGAAATCCCCAGGCCCCTGAGAGCGCTGGACCAGACTCCTGGATCCAGTATGGACAATCTAGACAGCTCGGTGACAGGTAATGGAACCAATTTAATAGGAATAACGGACCTATTGGTAACGTTAAAATGCATCAAAAATCAACTACTTCCTTATTGTAAGATTTATTCCACTCCATCTATTTCTGTAACATTTCAAATATGTTAATATTGAATACAAAATTCAAAAAGGATTTGGAAATACTTTTGCTTTCCTGCAAAAATGATAAGAAAATTCATGAATTTTAAAGAGCTTTAAAGACATGAAAGAAAACTCAATTGTATCAAGGGCTTTCATGAGAAGTTCACTCTACTAGGAAACCAAGTCTATTACATGAAAACCTTGACTTTTAGAAATGATCTTTTTTATATATCTCAGGAACAACATATGAAGTGAATGCAATCTTAAAATGCTTCTTGATATTTCACTCTGTAAAATCATTCACTGATAGAAAGTAAGCAAGTCTCCTGAATAAGGCACTTTAAGGTTGCACAAGGCATTATTTTTAGAGTGAAGAAAATGTATAGCGAGATAAACCATATGTTTATGCATTTCACATTGCTGAATCTAGTAAATGCTTCTCTTCCAAGAAATGCAGTTATTTTTTCTGTGTACTTCTTTGGCTTCCTCTTGCCTTGTTCACCAAATGAAACGGTTCCATTGGAACTCTTCTATGATGATCCCAGGACTGAGGTATAACCTATTTTCAGGGATTTAAATGTACCAAATTTTTTTAAAAAAACTTTAAATCCTAATATGGCCACAATGAATATGGAGAAAACTAAAAATTCAGTCTTTCTATTCAAATAGATATACATTGTTGGAGACACAAGAAAATGCCTCCTACATGACTGTGTAGACAGAGCTACTACAAACTGAAGTCGGGTCTCTGCATTTCACTGGGTCTTCTCAGAAGACCGCTCATATTTGTATTTACTGTGATGACATCTTTCATCCTAGGAGGTATTTTACCACAATCTCACTTAATTATGCCAACAGCTTCCAAACTTTCACAGAGTTTACACAATGTGTTAGAGTTCTGCAAACACTGATGGAAACTGGCTTACGACAGTGATAAAGCAGCATCAATGCCTATGATTTTCCTCTGCATTCCTCCCCGAATTACACAATGTGTGATGCACGAGCCCATTTTTCAGTTTTTCTTCTTACCTAGGGGCTGGTCTGCTTGCCAGCCTAATTAAGATTTAAGAGCTGCAGATACACTGCTGTGGTTTGAAATCCAGATACAACGGATGGTGACAGAGCACAAGTTAAAATCTTCAAATGCAGAGAGCGGACTTATTAGTGCACTATTATGTTAAACCCCTTTGCCTGAGTTTCCAGCATAATCTCCTTCAGGGTAAAATTCTGCATATTTTTGCATATTTCACTGATGATACTGAACTCTTTTCCATTAGGAATGCAGTAACAAACTGCAATAATGATGAAAAAAAGTCAGCTATAATCTGTGTAGTTCTTTTATTAAATATTATAATGTCAAAGATGATAAATATGTCTATAAATCAGGAGAATGCCATTTTGCACTTTTACATGCTCACCTGTGACATGTTAGGCTACCTGATATGACTGCAGCTCAAGCAATCTGCATTTCTCCTGTAGCTAGTGTAATGTTCACTCCAAATGAAGCTTTTATTGCTAAGAAAAAAAGTCTGGTTTCCTCCTTGAATTCACTGCTTAATTACTGCCATATATAAAAACCTCAGGGTGTTTAGGTTTGTATTCCATGATGAGCTTATCCTATGAATAATACATCTCTTTAGTGAAAGAAGTTGTGCTCTACGCAAAAGTAGCCAAATACAAACCCACCCTTTTTTTTCTCCTTCTCTTCCACAATAACTTTGTGGAGACGGTGTGATCAAAGATTTAATTTGCTTTCTATGGTATGTGAGTGAGTGCTTATAAGTGTGTGTGTGAGAGAGAGTGTGTGTTAGGTGTGTGAGTGTATTGGAATGTGGATGTGGGTGCTTGTGTAGGGAGTATGTGTAACAGAGTATGTTAGGTGTGTGAGTGTATTGGAATATGGATGTGGGTGCTTGTGTAGGGAGTCAGTATGTGTATAAATGTGTGAGAGTGTAGATGAGGCTGTAAGTGTGATAAAGTGTGTGCGCATGCGTGCATGCAGACATGTATGAGAATAGCCCTGAGGTGGATGTATATAGAGACTGAATATTAGAGAAATCAGCAGGCCAATGAATGTTGTTCTAACGTGCTTATGTTTTCCTCAGACTCTTAAGGCTAGTTTAATAGCACTGACTGAGGTGGGCAATAAAACAGGCATTATTTCTACGAGCTTTTTATGTTTTTTACATGGTAAGTGCCCATACAGTGGATGCGGATCATACCACCAGTTACTTTGGATTCTAAATATGTTTGTGGTGTAAATAAATTAGGCATTACCTCCCCCTGAAATTTTGTTAGTTATTTTCACTTTCTTGAAACTAATGACCGTTTTATTAAATAGATCTCACAGTTACAGGAGGCAACATGGGTTACACAGTCCCTGACACTCTGAAGCCAATCAGAATATTGGGTTCCAGTCCCTGAAACTCTGAAGCCAATCAGAATGTTAGTTCAATAACACCCCTGGGATGGGCTAGTAAGCCCGTATGTGAAATTACTCAGGATTTTATTTGGATATATTGCACTTCACAGCTGCCATATTAGGGAATATATCAGCAGTTATTCAGGGACAGAAACCATTTTTTTGTAAAGAAATAAGCATGTTAACTGCAAAAGTTTTTATAGCAACTACTTTGTGAGGGAGTTCTTAAATTTTGAAATGATGGTCTATGAGGGGAGAAGGCTAAAAAAAGACGAAAGTAACAGCAGTTCCATATCCCATGATCTCGGTACTGGATAATAGGTATTTGCAGGTGTGCTGTTAATATTTCTTTCTTTCTACAACAAACACGTATTGAATGCCTATTACTTCTAATCACTTGGCTAAAAATTTAGATTCAATAATAATAATAGTAATAATAGGTAACACATATACAACCTTTACTAAGTCTCGCTCTGTGGCCCAGGCCGGAGTGAGCGGCGCCATCTTGGCTCCCTGCACGCTCCGCCCCCCGGGTTCCCGCCATTCTCCTGCCTCAGCCTCCCGAGGAGCTGGGACCACAGGCGCCGCCACCTCGCCCGGCTAATTTTTTGTATTTTTAGTAGAGACGGGGTTTCACCGGGTTAGCCAGGATGGTCTCGATCTCCTGACCTCATGATCCGCCCGCCTCGGCCTCCCAAAGTGCTGGGATCACAGGCCTAAGCCACCGCGCTCGGCCCATGCAAGGCGTCTTTCTCAGCAGTAGCCTGTGTTTCGTGTGGTCGCATGAGCTAAGAATGGTTTTTCACATTTTTGAAAGGGTTGTAGGAAAACAAGAAACAAACAAACAAACAAAAACTAAGAGGAATGTATGACAGGGACAGCAAAGCCTAAAATATTTAGTGTTTGTCATTTTACAGAAAAAGTTTGCCGATCCCTATTATAAAGTTTTAGTGTATGTTAATTCATTTAATCCTCACAACCCTACTAGCAGTATTATTTTCATTTACTAGACTAAAAAATTGAGTCACCGAGGGTTTTAAAGCCTTTTTCCAGGTTACCCACCTGATAAATGGAAGAAGAATGTTCAAAATCAGTCAGTCTTACTCTGAAGACAAATTATCGTGATCCCTGCTCTGGGAACACACACCTTTCTTCTGATCTGTGGCATAGGTTTATTTAAGAGGAAAATAATATGCTGGTTTGTTGCTTAATATGTGGAACTGAGTGTGTGTGTATATAAACACACATGAATAAATATGTATACAAGCACAACATATAATTTTCTCTCTAGAAACTTTAGTCCTTTTTCCTTACGCATTTAATCAAGATCAAGATATTAATTTTAGATGTGACTTTTGTGATTCATTTTTTTCACATTCAGTTCTATATTTATAGTGACCCATGCTACCGAAATTCAGCTCTAGCAGCACTTTTTGCAGTGAACCTCATTTTAATAATTTTCGTAATCTATGCTCATAATGCACACTCGTTTGATTGTAATAAAATACAACATGTTTATTTATTACAGCTCACTGGACGCTTTTTGCGCTAGAAAGTGAACATAAAGGCTTGTCTTCAGGAGTAAGCCTGTAATTTCCTCCTAAATGCCGAACCGTTGGGTAACGGTGGGGGGAGGGCTCCAGTACTTCTTTCGGTAACTTCCATGGTGGGAGTCAAGGGTAATTATTTCCCGAATTTAATGACACCACCAGGAAAAACAAGGCAGTAGGAGAGAGCGCAGGGGGAAAATGTCCTCAACGTGTAGCAAAGATTCTAACTGCCTCAGTGATCACAAAAAGGAAGACTGAGATTGTGTCCTGTTCAGTGAGACAAGTAGAAAGTTTCCTCGACTGCTGGACTCCACAGGAATCCCACAGCTGAAAGGAAGTCCTGGCTCTATGTTTTCTTTTTTTTTTTTTTTTTTATTATTATTATTATACTTTAAGTTCTAGGGTACATGTGCATAACGTGCAGGTTTGTTACATATGTATACTTGTGCCATGTTGCTGTGCTGCACCCATGCTCTATGTTTTCTAGTTTATGTTTTTGGAGGTTTGTACTGGAACTCCCACAGCAGATCGATCTGGAAACGGTGAAACCTGGCGGCCTCGCCATCTGACTCAACCACACAGCTTTTAGAGCCTCGGCCACTGAAATATTTGACCTGAAACTTTGCTTTTCTACAAAACTTAAAGGAAAATAAGTTTAGTATTGAGGAAAATTTCAGGGATAATGCCACAATAATAAAATTAATTTCTTAGACTACTTCAACAGATTTGATGTCTTTAAAGAACAATTAAATATATATTTCAAAATTGAGCAGATAAAAAGGGGAAGGGGGACATTACACATGTAATTTTTATCTGAGTGAAACAAGGTATCAAGCATCATATGTCCTAATGAAGATATTTTTAATTGCTTATTTTGCTTTCCATATGTATGACACATTCCTTTTCTTTTTTTCTTTCTTTCTTTCT